CTGCAAAAAAACATAAATTCATTTCTAAAAAAATACAGGTAAACTCACGGACCATATATCTCATGATAAAAAATGACCAAAAAAAAATCCTGCTTCTCTTTATATATATTTTTTTAATTTTGTTTAAATCAATTTTAGTTTTTGATTTTTTTAAAATCTTAAACAAAGTCGGATTCCAAAAACAAAAATATAGGAGTGTAGGGTTTTTTTAGCCCTACACGCCCATATATATATCGTCACAAACAGAACTACCCGGTAAACCGTAGGCAGAGAGAGAGAAGAGGACAACAAACGAGGGGCTGTGACAAACTGTTTCGTCGGAGTTTCATATATATATATTTTTTCATGCATTAGAAAAAAAATAAAAATCTTGCACCGAAGTCGGCTGGTCGGCCTAGGCAGAACCTGGCCGATTCGGCCATCGGCCTACGCCGCAGCCGACTTGGACCCCCCGGCCGCGGCCGGGCGTGCAACATAGGTTGCATCCACTTCTTCTGAACCTCCCTACCCTTTCTTTTGAACCCCTCCTTCCCCTCCCCTCACCCGCACTTGTCATCAGTCATTCATGTGTCATCATGTATGTTTCTCTGGACGCTCCCTGCACTTCCTTCCCCAACCTCCCTCCTCCTGAAGCCAGCAGGGCGAACCCCTCCCCCCCCCACTTGTCATCCGCCATTGGCACATCATTCACGCATCACCATGCCCCGCTCATCACATACCCTGCGTGCATCATCATCCCCTCTCCTCAACATCTCCCCCACTTGTCATTGTCATCCTCCCTCCTTCCCAACATCTCCACCACTTGTCGTCATCATCTCGACCCTTTGTCCGGATAGTCCAGATCGGTCCCGATGGGGTCCAGATCGGTCCGGATGGTCCAGATCGGTCTGTCGTCAACCTCCCGCGTGCCAGACGTACATGGGTGGCAAATTGAAAAGAGACCTACATGAGGCTACATGAGCCTACATCTGCATTTTCTGTTCGTTTTTCAGCCCAGACCATATCAGGATGGTCCAAATCGGTCTGGATGGTCTGGCCGTCGGGATGCCATCCGCACTGCCCCGCTGCTCGACCACTGTCCAGGTCCGCAGTACCCACGATTGGAACCATTTCCTTCTCCAGATGCATTTCAAATGTTATCATAATTTCCAGGAATCGAACTAGAGCTTTCTGCATTTTTACTGGTGATAATTTTACATTTATTCTCTTCGTTTATTCTATTTGATTATTTTTGATAATGTGAGTTTATTTTTCGCTGGTTAAGTAAACTAACTATTTGATTTATTTAATTTAATTTCTTTTATATACAAGTATACTGATATTGACCGTATAATAAGACTAGATTCTTTTAACTCAGTTACTAGATACGGGCGCCTTCGGCCTATCTATATAAAGACTCAAACGACGCCTTCGGCGCCTTCGGTCAGGGACCCGGCTCTTGCGAGCCCTTCTATATATATATATATATCGTCATATATATATATATCGTCAAATAGAACTGCCCGGTAAACTGTAGGCAGAGAGGGAGAAGAGGACAACAAACAATGGGCTGTGACAAACTGTTTCGTCGGAGTTTCACCGACTCATCAGGAGGCTGAACCCTCATATATATATATATATATATTGTGTGCACAACTCCCTCTGTGAGCGACATGGGCTCACGTGGACATGTGCAAGCAGTAGCCCCAGTGGCAGGCAGGGCATGCCGAAAAGACGTCATCCTGTACAGGGTGATGATACGGACGGGCCGATGCAGGTGCAACCACTGATCAAGCCGAGATGTGGGCCAAAGTTATCCCCCAGTTTGACAGGCCCTGCCAAGAAGATTCCAGCCCCAGGTGAATGTACAACAAGTCAGCTATGTGAAGGGCAGGACGTGATGAAGGTCATCTTTGAGGGCTCTATCTCCCTACGGACCTCCACCTGCAGCATCACCCCTTACGGTGTGATGGAGCTCAATCTGCACTTGAAGTGCAAGTGAGCAGCATCATAGTTCTTTTAAAAAAGAATAGAACGACTGGCGCCTACGATCACCTATCTGAAATCGAACAGATTCTCAAACTACAGCTAACGCTCCTTTGTATAATTTGTTTGGTTGTTCTCTGTGGTACCGCGGCACCTGTGCTTTTTCGGCGAGGCGATCGTAAGAGCTTCCGCTCTTCAAACGACAAAAACCGGCAACCGGCGAACTGGGAGAGCCTGGAGGAGCTGATAAGAAACCCGAGAAAAGCCGGCCCGTGGGAGCCTTTAGCTCGTCGAGTTATGAGCGTCTTTGAAAAGATATATATATATTCTATTTGACGATATATATATGTATATATATTGTCACATCACTACAAACTAAAAGAGCGCACTTTGCGGAACAAAGAATAAAAGCAAAAAACGGGCACAGTGATAACATGCAAAAATAAAAACAAAAAGAAAGAACAAGGGCAGATTGAAACCATTAAATTTCT